AGGGTTGCTCCGGGGCAAGTCAAATCGCAATTTTACCTCAATTTTTGCCGATCGACCCTCATTTCGTGCGAAAGGGTTGCTCCGGCACAAGTCAAATCGCAATTTTACCTCAGTTTTTGCCGATCGACCCTCATTTCGTGCGAAAGGGTTGCTCCGACACAAGTCAAATCGCAATTTTACCTCAGTTTTTGCCGATCGACCCTCATTTCGTGCGAAAGGGTTGCCGTTTCGTGACTCGCCGCCGGTACCACCCTCGGCCTAAAGAGAGAAAGATAAAGAAGGCGAGAGAGAGAAAAAGGAGAGAGAAAAAGGAGAGAGAAAGGAGAGAAGATGTGAAGGTGAGAAGATGTGAGAGAAGGTGTGAAGATGAGCAGATGTGAAGATGAGCAGATGTGAGAGAAGATGTGAAGATGAGCAGATGTGAGAGAAGATGTGAGAGAATATGTGAGAGAAGATGTGAAGATGAGCAGATGTGAGAGAAAAATGTTAGAGAAGATGTGAAGATGAGCAAATGTGAAGATGAGCAGATGTGAAGATGAGCAGATGTGAGAGAAGATGTGAGAGAAGATATGAAGAAAGATGAGCAGATGAGAGAAGATGTGAGAGAAGATGTGAGAGAAGATATGAAGATGAGCAGATGTGAAGATGAGCAGATGTGAGAGAAGATGTGAAGATGAGCAGATGTGAAGATGTGAAGATGAGCAGATGTGAAGATGAGTAGATGTGAAGATGAGAAGGTGTGAAGATGAGAAGGTGAGATACAGACCCCCACTATTGGAAGAACCCTGCGCTCAGACGCTCTCGGGAAAAAACAACATGGACAGGTTGCTGACACGGAAGCATCACGCGATGGATAGCACTAGCAACACGTCGCATATCCCGAGGACGAGGAGGTGGACGCCGAACTGACTGTATCGGGCTTAGCAACAGAATACTGGAAAGAGAGAGACAAGTAGAGAGAGAGAGAAAAGAAAGAGACGAAAACAGACCCCGGCACAGACACACAAACAGCTGCCAAGCGATCTGCGTATACGCAGCCAACAATGCCAGGCGGAGTTCGAGCGTCTAGAACGGCAAGAACAGGCTTGCGCAACATACCCTAATTACAGACGGAAGCATTTTTACACATTAAGTCTTGGGTTCATGCCAAAGCAGACAGTACGCAGCCGAATTCATCACGGATCACGCGTCATATGCAGAAACGGATTCCGTGCGCGGTCACGAATCTGACCATGCCACTGCAGGCGGACTTGCGTGCGGCGAAGGCCCGAAGCCTCGCCGACCAGGACGACCCTTAAGTTTAAGGCTCTGAACCCTTAAGCTGTATCTGCGGGGATTAGCAGACGCCGATCGGCAAGCCCTCGCAGATGCGTCCATGAGCAGTGGAGAAGAAGACGGCTCCAAAGAACTGTCTGAAATGCAGTGTAGCTAGAAAGGCGGGGGCACCTGGACGGACACAACGAAATAAGTCCCCCGCACACGCTGTGCAGGAAGCCGCTGCGCCACAGACAAACGGCTGCGATTTGAAGGGAAAAAGTCGAACTGCTGCGTGCCGCGTGGTTCATTCTCAGACTCCCATGCTTAGCCGCGCAAAACTCTCAGATGCAACACGAAACCAAAAACGCGTGGTGTGTACTTTCCCTGTGCGCCGTGGACCGAGGCAACTCCGGGCATCTTTCGTAAATCGCCGCTGCTTCAGCAAATCAGATCACCCCAAAAAGAAATAAGGAATGCAACTTGGACGAAATTTCTGAGCGGCAAACGAAAAAAACAGACTGCGCACGCCAGAACAATGAAACCACAAAGTGAAATGACATGTATTTGGTAAAATTCAAGAAAGTTTATTTTAAGAACTTGCCTCTTCATATTATAAAACCTTCAAAGTTCTCGATCTCAACATCTAATGAATGATGGATGTATATGTTTTGTTTTTTATTGTCTTCATCATTATGTGCATGTGGTTTGGCCGATGTGAGTTGCCAATGTGCAGAGTGTGCGTTTGATGTGGAGAGTGTGGAATGCCATGCAGCAGGGTTACAATCGCAATCTACTAGCCAAACTACATTGTAAGTAACAATATGTATAAGTGCTGACAATCCTCAAGGCATAGAGACCCTCACTGCTGGCATGAGCCACTTGGCTGATTTCTTTTCTAAGTAACATCTTGATACCATACATATCTATGTTTTCATACCATGGACACCTACTTCATGGATTGACCAATGACTAAGTAACAAATAGAAATTTGCAAAGTCACATATGATATTTCCTTGTTTCATGGCATTGGCAAGGCCACATGGTCTTAAGTTGAAATGGTTTGCAACCTGCAGGGTTAAACCTGATGGCAAATTCCCTTGAGATCAAGTCTTCATGGAAATCACTGACATATCTTGAACGTGAAATAAGCTTCGGTGGTATCCCCAACAGCCGCAGCGTTTTAGTTTTACAAATCTTTCTGAAGCGTGCCGCGAGGCCAAGCGCGGAAACTTCTCCGGAACCTTCTCCAAAACCCTGTTGAACCTGACAAAGCTCTGCACCAAAGCCTCGCAGACCTTCCCCGGAACCTTCTCCGGAACCTTCTCCGGAACCCTGTTGAACCCAACCTGTCTCGGATTCTGAGAGCTCGTTTGCGCGTAAGGTTAGGAAAGCATTGGAACAATCTAGATCATCCGAAACAAAGACCAAAGAGTCTGATCGGGTGTTAGTTCCCAACTTTCCCCAGCCTGAGAACTATAGGAACTGGAGGATTAGGGTAAGGGATGCCGTGATTGCTGCTTCTTCTTAAACTTGATTTAGCGTTTCAATGGATAGAAGAGGTCTTCAAAACTGACCAGACTCTTGAAGCACTAAGGGGCTCAGGGAAGTTTGTCACGCTTGATGCCAAGTTGACGTCTTCTCTCACGAACATTTGTGAGGGGGATTTTGCAAGACAGCTCGACATCTTCAAGGAGGAGTAGGCCAAAGCCGGAACACCAGCCAGGAGTTTGTGGCTGAGAACAAGCTTAGCCAGAGACCATTGAGGCCAGGAGGACCACTGCCCACGCTGCTCACGCAGGTGCTTCGGCCGTGTTGGAATCATGGTGCTATCGGTAGTGGGCCCAATCCTTGGCTAAGTTGGTGAACACAACTAGTATAACTATAGGGTTTATGGAGTTTATAAACCTTAGTGAATAAGGTCTATGGTGATTATAACCACAGTAAAACCCAAAGCCTCCCACACCTTCTCCGGAACCTGCAACCTTCTCCGGAACCTTCTCCGGAACCCTGTTGAACCTGACCTGGCTCTGCACCAAAGCCTCCCACTGGTTCCCGCGAAAATGCTGGTAGGTAATGTGCATGAAGCGTGGTATGAAAGTAAAAAGCTTACAAACAGTTTTGCGCTGGATATGCCAACTTAAGGAAAACTCTACACAGTTGTTTCATGCAAGAAATCATGTGCTGCAGGCGCTAACATTACTATTGTACATGGTTGCAAACAGAAGCTCACGAACATGCACCACGACGGTAAGCTGTCATTCAAACGGAAGGCTGATCGCCAAGAATCCCAAGAAGTAACCAGCAAATTTGTTTGCCAAACATGTGGGAAATGCGGGGCACGCATGCACTGCGCAAAGGGTATTTGGCCAGCGATCGACAGTGAAAGGCTGATGTTGCCCAGAGCCTCCAATATTCCTTGATTAAGCATTACTGCTTAAGTAAGGGAGATCTGAGAAAGAAAACTACCCCTTCATTCAACCATGTTTTTTCTTTATTTGAGTAGTATGCTCCAAAGAAAATTATTGCTTAAATAGAGGCTGTTTTTTCAGTTCACTGGGACAATTTCTTGACAGCACAGAGGTCTGCCTGGCCAGAAAAGATAGGGTTGAACATTTCAATCCCAGCATGCTCTTAACTGAATACTTTACTGTGTAATATCAACTGTTCGCAGCAAACAGACATATTTCACATCATGTCTCGCAGTTTCTTTACTGGTGCTTGCCAAAGCCTGCAACACAGCCTCCCGCAAGCAAGCAAAGTTCTTCAGGAGGGCGAAGGTGGCGACAGTGAGCAGCTCACCTGCTTGTCTTGGGCGATACTTATGTCGGGGCTCGTCGCCTTCGCGCTCTTCATCGGCTTTTGGTGTGGTGCTGAGGCGCCGTGGGCGAGTGAAGAAAGGCCCCTGGCTGACATCAGCAACTCGGTGGCTGACAGGATTTCAGTGGAATGTCCAAACAAAAAGAACAGAATGAAGACCCCGAACTGCCGCAGGTTTGCCGCAGCTAGTGCCCGAGAGCAGTCTGACGGAGGGCGGGCGGAAGAGGAGGAGCAGGAGGGAGGAGAGTGGGAGCCCTTGACCCAAAAAAGAACCCCACGGAATGACAATGATGTGGGGAAAACTTGGCGCCTGAACCAAAATTGCAGGGACCGCGCAGGAGACTTTTTAGTGGCCATGCATTTTGATTTTTGATCGGGATGAGATGGTGGCGGCAATGTGAGACCTGCAAGGCTTGCTTGGTTTGCACACACGGACGCGCTCGACTTAACAGATGTTCTGAGCTGCAGGTTTCACCATTGATGCTCGCTCCGCAATTCACAGTCCGTCAGGGTGGTGATGGTTTGGCAATCTTTAGCGGCAATGGTGATGGGTTGATTGTTTCGTCAGCCCAGCAATTCAGCCTCTGCCAGCTTTGGCCCGCTTCACCAGCTTGGGTGTTGTTTGATGCGTTCGACAACTTCTTGTCGGAGGTCGCATGCTGCCCACTGCCCGAGCTGCTGGGGTCTGTTCCATGGTTTTTCTTGCAGCCTCCCAGTTTTGCCGCGATCTAAAATGCCACTAGACAGACACTGTTTGCATGGCTTTTCTGTCGGAAAACCACTTTGTTGAAACATGTTTACATATCTGAATTTGACAAGCTTTGCCTTCACATTTTCAGCACAGTTTGGTCCAGAGGGGAGAATGTGTCGAACCCACAGCCAGCCCAGTTTGCTAGTGGGTTTTTGAAACGCATTTTCAACTCCAAGCGATATGCGACATTGCTTACGCATTTCCTTGCCAACACTGCCGCTTGACAAAAAATGTTTGGACTCTCTTGCTTATGGAATCTCCCAAGTGGAGTTGTTGCTTCAGCAATGATCCCAGACCTTCTCCGGAACCTCCGGAGCCTTCTCCGGAACCTCGTTGATCCTGACCCGGCGCCTGCACCAGTGCACACCGGAGCTATTCTGGGCTGAAGACCCTATGAGCTTACATTGGACATTTTTTGGACACCTAGACATTTTCTTGAGATTTCAAGGATTCCTAGATCACGCAAAAACTTGGTATTTCACGCAAACTTCACGCAAAATCACGCGGACATATGCTTGATGATTTTACAGGATTGGCATCTTTCCAACCAGATTGGAAGTTAGGAGTGCTAGATCATCACCTTTGATTGATAAAACTATTATTTGTTCTAGTATGTTTGATGTTTTTGTTTTTTTTGTGATTTTTCCATGTTTTTGATGATTGTTTTCTTGTCAAGCAGCAACGTGTTTCATCAAACTAGCAATGCATGTTCGATTTGATTGTCCACGTCGCAGTGCGTTCAAGGTCAAACCCCCGCCCCACCGCACAACTTTCACCGGAACACCTGGGGCGAAATGGAGCACGGCGCCGGTGCTGCCAGTGATGCTTTTGCTGCGGTGCGGGGCTTGATGGTGGTGAGGTCGGCGGCTGGGACCGTTCATACGGTCGGGTGCCCCAGCCTGCTCCACGCCGGACACCTCAACGAAATCCATTTATGCCGCATCTGCCCAAACCCCGAACACCTGCTGTTTGTCAGCAAGGGGGATAGCAGCCGGTTGGCGCACCGCGACCTTGGCTGCCGCTACTTGGGGAATTTCGGGGTTCGATTCTGTGAAGGTGTGCCGCAGATGCTGGATGGGCTGGAGCGCGGGAAAAAAGAGCAGAGGGATCGCAAGAGTCAGTGTCAAACGATGTCAAACATTGAGTGGACTAGGGCTGCAAGTGTGTTTATAAGTATTTAAAGCATGACACAGCATGACATGATTTTGATGATTAGATGTTGGTGTTCCTCATCCTTCTTTTGACGTTGACCCGGCTGCAATGTGACAACAAGACCTTTGGTGATGATTTGATGTTTGTGTGTTCCTGATCCTTCTTTTCATGTTGACCCGGCTGCAATGTGACAACAAGACCTTTGGTGATGATTTTGATGATTTGATGTTTGTGTGTTCCTGATCCTTCTTTTGATGATGGCCCGGCTGCAATGTGACAACAAGACCTTTGGTGATGATTTTGATGAATTTTGATGATTTGATGTTTGTGTTCCTCATCCTTCTTTTGATGTCGACCCGGCTGCAATGTGACAACAAGACCTTTGGTGATGAGTTTGATGATTTGATGTTTGTGTGTTACTCATGCTGCTTTTGATGGTTTTTGCGTGTGTTCTCCATGTTTGGTACTTTTTGAAAGATTCTGAGTGTCAGTTTGGTGTGAGTTTACACCAAACTGGCACCCCTGGGTGTCCGTTTTTAACGGACACTAAATTGCTCCCCTACAGAACACTGCAAATACCAAGCAAAAGGTTGTTTTGTTTGTAAAACTAACACCAAACTGACAGTGTCATTTTTATGAAACTGACACCACTGACACCCAAAATCTTCAAGACTTCATGATTTTTTTACAATCCCTAAAAACTGAACAAATCATCAAACATCTAGAAAATAATAATCTAAATCCATGGGTTGTGTGATGAAACAAATTCATTTCAGTTTTGAAGAATGCCAGATTGTCAAAAGGATAGAATTGCGACATCAACAAATCCATGAAGACTTGGTCTCAAGAGAAATTGCCCTGAAGTTGAACTTTGCAGACTGCAATAAAACCTTGAGCTGCAACCCACATGAATGATATACATGTTACTTAGTATCTTTAAATTTTTACTTGGTCAATCCGTTGAGTATAGCACCTAGTTATGTGACTAAGACATCCATGGTATCAAGATATAACCTAGACTAGACCAAAAAAAAAGATATCGCCATCGCCATGAAAAAATGTGCAATCAGCCAAGTTGCTCATGCCAGCAGTGAGGGTCTCTGTGCAATGAAGATTATTTTGCTTGATTTCACCATTAGTAAAATACTTTGGTACAAGGTTGTTCTATCCCTGCTGCAAAGCGACCCACACTTTCCACAGCAATGACGCACACACACACCACACATTCACAATTCACACTGGCCAACAAACATTCAAACCATAACGAAGTCGAAATGTATATCCATCAGTCACTAAAAGTCGATATCAATAGTTCTCAATGTTTGACCATTCAAAGAGACCGCTCCTCAATAATTATTGTTCTGAAATTGACCACGTGCATACCATACAGTAAAAGCCAGTATCAAGAAAAATGCTGACGGTTTCATGACATGAATAATCCCTTCCTCCTAATACTAAACCCCCCCCCCTAATACAAAACACGGCAGGTAGTTTTTAGTATTAGGGGGGTATTTATTATTAGGGAACCAAATCGAAGTCATGTTAATTAATTAATTAATTAATTAAATTTCCTTATATAACGCAATTAAAATATTGCCAAAAATGGCAGTTCGAAGCTTACCCCTAATACTAAATTAAAACCCTTAATACTAAAAACAATTTTTTCCGATCTCAAAATCAATTAAATTTCTTTATATAACGCAATTAAAATATTGCCAAAAATGGCAGTTCGAAGCTTACCCCTAATACTAAATTAAACCCCTTAATACTAAAAACTATTTTTTCCGATCTCAAAATCAATTAAATTTCCTTATATAACGCAATTAAAATATTGCCAAAAAATCCCCCTCGGGGCGCAGTTCTCGAAGCTTACCCCTAATTTGTACTAAATTAAAACCAGTAATTGCTAAAAATATTTTTTCCGATCTCAAAATCAATTAAATTTCCTTATATAACGCAATTAAAATATTGCCAAAAATGGCAGTTCGAAGCTTACCCCTAATACTAAATTAAAACCCTTAATACTAAAAACTATTTTTTCCGATCTCAAAATCAATTAAATTTCCTTATATAGCGCAATTAAAATATTGCCAAAAATGGCAGTTAGAAGATGTTAGAAGCTTACCCCTAATTGCTAGAGTAGCTAGGCAGCTTGGAGTGAGGGATTGGGACTAGGCCCCCCTAATACTAAACACCCCGGGGTGAACTAGTTTTTAGTATTAGGGGGGAGAACCCACAAATGGTAGGTTGATTTTTAAATTGTTTTTTAAAGGGGATCAATTAAAAGTCAAATTGGCCAAACTGAAATTTTCGGAAATTGGAGATGGATGCCTGTTTTTAGTATTAGGGGGACGTTTAGTATTAGGAGGAAGGGATTAAGCAACTCACTTTAAGCAAAATAAACATTCAATTTGACTAAGTGCATCCCATAGGGATCATGCTCACCATACTTGCTAAAGGCCATTGGCTGATGAACTAAAGACAAAACCAAACATAGAAACTATTTCAAGACATGTAAACGGCCCATGTTAGGCCAATCTCCACCCAGGTTTAAGGTCTTCTGGGTTGTGTCTACCTAAGTATATTTTATTCCACCTCTTGTTTTTTTCGGCATGTTCTATTTTTTCTTCAATTGGGGGCCTCCATTCTATACCCAAAAAGGGCGCGCGGACCCAACAAAAAGATGTTTATATTGCGTATTTTTTCGGCAAGGAAACCCATGGAGTAAGCCTTTGTGTTCTTCTTCCTATCGGTCGGTTCATCTTCCTTTTTGTCAAATATGGTTCTTCATCTGTTCTTTTTTTGAAGGGGCTATAATGATATCTTTCTACCTCCTATCTATCTTTCTATCTTCCTACCTTGTCTTTTTGCAATGCTTCTGTTCTATCTATGTTTCCTTTCAACATATCGACATGTTGGTCTTTTGATTGTTCTGTTTATGTTTACCAATGTTGTTGTTACTATGTTTTTTTCTGTTTATCTGTCCTTCTTTCTTTTCATCCATCTGTCTATGTAACTATCTATTTTCTCTACTATTGATCTATTGATATATCTATGTATCTAGTCATCTGCCTATCATTCCCATCTATATGTCTATGTGTCTACCTTCCCCTCCTTCTTCCAACCTTTCTTCGATCATTCTTTCTACCTGTCGATGTGTTTCTTGCTGGTGTTCTTTCTATCGGTCTATCTACCTATGGTTCTCTTTCTATGTTCTTTCTTTTCATGATTCCTGTTTAAGTAACATTGATATGTTTTTGGTGGCAAACATGCTGCTACATATCATGAAACGAAAGTGCAATGAACCTGTTTTCCTTGTCAAAAATGAGTTTTCATGACATGTGTGTTTGCGTGGGACTGGCATGTCTTGTTTTCATACATATGTGATTGCTGAATGTTGTCATTACCATTGAAAGTTGATTATTGCTCAAAGAAAAAACATATATGTATACGTTTAAAATTATCTCCATTTTTCATTTAACAAAATTCCTCAAAATCAGCAAATTTGATTTAAGTCTTAAGGCAATTTTAAAAAATGCCTAAACAAATAGTTTAGCAAAAAATTAACTAATAGTCAGGATTTTGCCTTCAGTTAAGGAATTAGCTATTAGTCAGAAAATTGTCTAATCTGGTCTTAGAGGCATATATCTCCTATATTCAAAAACTCAAACTCCAGAACATTCCAAAATCAGCTCCAAAGATATGGGGGAAAAAAAACTGTGTTCATCACGTTCGTCCCCGGTGTTTCTAGTGGAATACATGTCGCCGCCACACGTCACCTGTCCCAGGAGATTTTCCAGGTCTACGACGCCCTGAGCAAAGTTCCCAATGGTTTCTTCACCATCGCCGCAGCCTTTGGCAACGTCCATGGCGTGTACCAACCAGGCAATGTGAAGCTGGAACCTACCATCCTGGATAAGGCAAGCGGTGGATATGTATAGGGCCGGAATGGTTTGGGTATTTGTTTCCCATTGACATCTTGGATATGGATGTTTGGACATTTAAGTGAGAAGTTCGGGAATTCATGAACAAGTACTGGGGTTTAAGCAAACTGCACGCATATGAACTAGCCAAGAAATTCGAGAGTTGGTGATATTTTCCAGTGAAATGGGATATTGACGCAACAAAAAAAAATGTGGTGTTTGTATTTTTTGTTGAAATACAGTAAGTCTGGCACCCCAGTTTGAGATCTAGTAGAGGATCATCATCTCCACAAGGGACGGGCTCGAATGAGCGTCTTCAAGCACGTTGTGTGGCCCAGTCTTTGTAGAAGTTCCAGTTTTTTTTCTGGTGAAGATGATTTGCAGGGCTATCTTTGCAGGCTCAGAAGTACATCTCCGAGAAGATTGGTGCAGAGGCACGGTCATTCCTCTGTGATGCATTGGTCACATGGGTCAGTTGGATTCAGTTGGGCTCCAAATTTTGACATTTTGAATTGATGTTCAGGTCAAACATGCTGGTTGCTTTGTTGGCAGATCATAGGCCATGTTTAGAATCCAATCTAGGTTCGGACGCCAGAATTTCTTTTGACTTACCCCATTTTTGTTGATCATACCCTGCACAATTGCAAGTTCCACGATAAGTCCCAAGTCATTTTCGTGTGATCTCAATTTTAAATCATCTTGAACACCACTTTCAAGTGTTTAAATACCAAAACTGAAGGCGGCTTGAAATCCCTGAATATTTTCGGTGGCCAGTTTCCCCTTCGCGTAAACTGAGGAGGGTTCCAAGCCCGTGAGTTTCGTCTTCCACGGTGGCAGCGGCTCTGATATCAAGGCTGGAGATGGGGTCGAGATTCATATCGCCATGAAATACAAGGTACATACAAGTACCAGATACAGGACAGCTTTGCTCAGCACCCTTCAATCACGGGTCCCTTCCAACTTCCAGATATTTCAAGATATTTCAAGAAAAATGTGGTCCAAGCAATTCCGGTTCTAATTGCGGTTCCAAGTCAAACCGTCTGGTTTTACCCAACTTACGACTGGCGATCCAGCATCAGGATATCAGAGAAGCCGTCGATTATGGTGTCATCAAGATGAACATCGACACGGACACGCAGTGCCCCACCTGCAGCGTCTTGTTGGGTTCGTGAGCCAAGATGAGAATGTCCAGAATTCAACTGCACAAGTGGGAAATCCTGCCGTGACACAGGACTTGTTTCCAATGACATCAATGGTACTGGCAGCAATTCCAGCCAGGCGTTTTAGGGCCAATGACAGTAAAACTCTCACTCTCCGCTTCAGGTGATATTTATCCCACCAAATCCCCAAGAAAGTCAGCCATTCTCCCACCGCAGAATCAGAACCACAATTACGCATGATGATCAACAACAATCCCATGATTCTAGGTTAAAATCCCATAGATAATAGACATAATCATCCATAATCATCCAAATCACATTCAAATCACCATATTCATCCCATTATCCACAATGACAACCTTAGTATTCGTAACCTTTTCGTAACCTTCCCAAAACAATCCTCACCATGATTTCCCAATCCGAATCCGGGGTTGCAGGTGGTCCTATTGGAGCGGAATCCGTGACTTTGAACAGAAGTACCACGACTACCTGCAGAAGCTCCACCAACATGGCAGGGGTGGGGGTGGGGGAGCAGCAGAATTTCTGGAGGGTGAAATTGGTGAAACACTGTTTTGCAGTTGGAGATTTGAGCGAAAGCCACTGAGAAGTTTATAACCAGGAGATGCTGGTATGAAGGAGGGGCAAGATTTGGTGACATGGACTGACCAAAAAACATCAGAAAATCTGATAGTTTTTGGAGAGAAACTTCATCCCGCTGAGGACACAGATTGGAAATCCTGATGGAGAGGACAAACCCAA